GAAGATACATTGTATGAAGGGGCGCAGGACAGCCATAGTCGAAAAAAATGACGAGTCCAGATTTGTTATGAAATGTAGAAACCATACTGACGGATGTCCATGGTTTATGGGGGCAATCAAGCCCAAGAAAGGAGCTAATTGGGTGGTCCGTAAATGGGGTGAAGATCACACATGCCCGAATCAAGGCCTTTCACAGGATCATAGACAGTTGGACTCAGATGTAATCTGTGCGGCTATTATGAGTATGTATTCTACCATGTACTTAACGAATCTTCTAATTGAGAATATGGTAAAGTTGTGTTTTTTTTTACATACATGTTAAAGGAAGATCCAGCTACAAAACCAGTTCTGATACAAGAGAGGATACAAGGAATATATGGATACAACATCACGTACAGGAAGGCAAAAATGAAAGCCATTGTTAAGTTGTATGGTGACTGGGAGAAATCCTATGGATTCTTGCCCAATTGGCTGATGTATATGACGCAGGTGAGTGTGGGTTCTGTGTTCAAGCTTGATACAAATCCATGTTGTGACGAACCTCGGGTTTATACAGACAGAGCTATATTTCATAGGGTTTTTTGGACATTTCACCAGTGCATTGAAGCATTCAAATACTACAAGCCTATAATTCAAATTGACGGTACTCATCTGTATGGGAAGTACAGAGGGACACTTTTGATTGCAACATCACAAGATGGAGATGGACATCTGCTCCCTATTGCCTTCGCTGTTGTTCCTCCAGGTGAGAAGTTGGAAGATTGGTCTTGGTTTCTGAGCCTTTTACGTTTTCATGTCACACATAGGCACGGTATTTGCCTAATATCTGATCGTCATCGAAGCATCATAATGGCGGTCAAAGATCACGCAGGGTGGCAGCCTCCATATGCTTATCATGTTTTTTGTCTATGTCACATTGGAAGCAACTTCAATACCAGGTTTAGGAATGTGGAATTAAAGAAGACGTTGATGAAATTAGGTACTGTATCCTATAATGGTTCACATATTTATTTTGTCATCTTAACTCACTAATTGCATATGTCATTAATGATTTTGCAGGGTACACATGTTCAAAGATTAATTTTGATCTCAGATACAAGGAATTCATCGACAACAATCCAGAAGTTGCTTCATGGTTGGAGGCGATACCGAAAGAGCAATGGTGCAGGTCGTATGATGAGGCAGGACGTAGGTTTGGTCATATGACAACTAACCTATTTGAGTGTGTGAATAAGGTGCTTCGGGGAGCACGTAATCTTCCTATCACTGCATTGGTTAAGATGACATTCAGTAGACTCGTTGAGTATTTTGTCAAGAGACGTGAAGAGATTGAAAAAGATGTCTCACAAGGCTGGATAATTTCAAAGAAGGTTGAGGCAGCTTTGCAAAAAAATGATGAATTGGCCGGCACTTATCGTGTGAGGATTTTTGATAGTCAGTTGTTATTGTTTGAGGTTGAGGATGCCTATAATCAATCTACACACGAGGTCGGTGACACCATGCGAGTTGACTTAATCAATCATAAATGTCAGTGTGGTAGGTTCACGGCAAGGAGGTATCCCTGCAGCCACGTATTAGCAGTTTGCAAGGAAGCTCGTTTGAACCATTATGATTATGTGGATCCTGTTTTCAAAATTCCAACCATTACTAAAGTATATGCTGCACATTGGTATCCTATTGGCAATGAACTGTTGATTCCATCGGTTGTTGGGCCTACTGTAATTCCGGATGTAAGGTTGGTACGCGCAAAAGGAAGACCAAAGTCTTCAAGGATTCAGAATGAGATGGATTGGGTTGAGTCTCAACCCTAGAGCAGTCAAAGTAGATGTAAGCATTGCAAGCAAGTTGGACATAACATTCGTACATTTCCATCGAGGCTAAGACAAGCATGACCCTTCGTTGTTATGTGTAATCATACAGGACTTTGTTTTGTAATGACTATGCTTTTATGTATTGTTTTTCATAGTGAGAGGACATCCACTGTATTGTTGTGTAATGTAATGGTTATGGTAGACATTACCCTTTGCTTCATTTAAGTCTTTTGTTGTATGAAATGTACGTTTGACAGGTCGTATGTGTACCATTTGGTTATGGTATTAAACGATCCCACAAACCTAAACCATGTTCCATTACAACCATTATGAGTCACATATGGTTATCGTAGTAGACGACACTCACTGAAATTGCCAAAAAAAGGGTTGATCAGCTGCTGAGTTAGCAAAACCAACTGGTCTACCCGGGTAACTCGTACTGGTTTACCCGGGTAGGATGTACCTGGGTAAACCAGTACGAGGTACCCGAGTAGACCAGTTGGTTTTGCTAACTCAGCAGCTGATCAACCCCTTTTTTGGCAATTTCAGTGATTGTTATTTGATAATACGATACAGGATGACTTGCTGACCACAGAATTGGGCACATACTGTAATCGGATAGGTTGATGTGCGCGAATGAAATTACGAGGTATACACGTTAATAATAGACATCAAATTTACTTCAAAATTCATTCAAAACTTGGAAAATACAGTACCAGTCACATAACACCAAATTTCATAACTGGGTTCTTCATATATTTAAAAAATACACGATTACATCATAAGATAAAACCTTATACCACCAAAAATGGGCTGCATACGTACATTAAGATCCAACTTACAGCCTAACAAAATACATAAGTCAAATCTACCCCAACCATGTCACCCTAAACCCTACTGCTTGGAATCCGAATGTGTATCCTGGTCATCGTCGTCGTCGTCCTCACCAGCCTCATCACCTATGTCATGACCCCCTGCTGATCCACCCTCCAAGCGTGTCATCCTGCTTTCCATCGTTGTTCGCCACTTGCTTGTACTCTGTCTGTAGCCCCTAAACTCACTCATCATGGCGTCCTGTCCACATGTCAAGCGATACATGGAGGCCATCACATGATCAAATGTCCATCCTCCCTCAGGAGCTGTCCATCCCCCCTCAAGTGATGGTGGACCTGGTGGTCGCCGTGTGCGGCTGCGACGTGCAGGAGTGGGATCAACAGCATGGACAACATCATCTGAGTCATCATCATCAAGTCCTGCATCAACATCATAAAAAGTAGACATTAAAATGTGGATGGTGCAAAAACATTAACCCTATTGCTACCCTAAATCCAAAAAACATTTACCTGCACCTGCATCCTCCATCTGAACATCGTGCTGAAGGAGGACCTCTGGTGGTTCAGGTGCCTTCTTCAAGTACCACACACCTGCTGGGCTCTGCATAATCCCGCATTGCTTCAAAAGGCGCTCCCCAAAGATGGCATTCCATCTTGTGGCTGTCTTCATGGTCTCAGTTGCCATAGGAACACCAAATCTGTGCAAAATCTTCTGGACCAGGAATGCAAATGGCAATTCAGCCTTTTTTGACTTGGCCGCCTTCCACATCAAGATGCATATGTAGTGCCTCCAGTTCACCTTAATATGATGAAGGAGGGCCCACAATATCACAAAGTCACCTTCCAGCACCTTCGAATGATTATGAGGGCGCTGGAAAATAATGTGGGTCACCACATAATGAAGTATGCGGGCAGACACGAACAAATTGCTCACAGGATAATGAGCAAATTGTTCGGCCTCTGCATCTGCCCTCCTGGTCTCAGCCACAACAGCCTCCCTATCATAACCACCAAATATATGATGGTTGTCTCCGTCATATAGTGTTGACCCTGTCTCACCGTCGAAGTCAACTCCCAGCAACTCTGTCCACATAGGAGCAGTAAGGATGATATCAATCCCGCATACACGGGAAGTCGTCTCACCATGCACATAGCCCAGGTTCTGGTAGAATGCTCGCACCATGACCTCTGAGTGGGCACCTCATCTCCGCAAGCACCAACAAATGTGTTTGCTGAAGAAGTGGGACTATGTTGAACCGCTCCGAATTGAAGAACGCTAAATCCAGTGATTTCGGCTCACAAATTTTTCGGCTCATGAAAAACTTCACAAACCGCTCGTGTGCACCAGCGTCATCCTCAAATAAATATCCGAACGGCAGGTCCGGAGCCTGATGCACAGCCTGGGGCTGAGAGGAGGAAGATACATCATGTCGGTGCTTGCTCCTCCCTTTAGTATTCACCGCTCTCTTCTTCGCAGCGCGTCTGTCCTCCATGCAATCACACTGTAAAACAAAATTAAAAAAAAAAAAATTCAATTTCAGAGAATATGGATAAACAGGTTTAGGGTTAGGGTTAGGGTTAGGGTTTTTTATTAGCAACAAATCAGAATGCATTTTGAAAACGAAAATTAACAATACGCAAAGCAATAAATTAAAATGCAAACATGATTACATCAAGGTCAGGCCGAATTTTATGATGAATCAGAAATTCAAACGGAAAAAAAATAACATATCTTGAAATTTCAATCGGTAGAAGGAACCCATACCGTGCGCCAAGGATGATGACAAAGTCTTGAGATGATCGATCAAACGTGCTCCCAGAATGGACGAAATCGCACTTCAGCAGCTCTCTATCCGGGTACCCTTTGTGGGTTTTCCAAATGGGGGCTGCTGGGGCTTTTAAAAAATCCTATTCACGAAATCTACCCGGGTACCCCCTTACCTACTCGGGTAAATAATTCAAAAAATTTCCAGGTTGAAGAACAATACCCGGATACCCCCCTACATACCCGGGTATGGTTGATTTTTTAAAAAAATACCCGGGTATGGAGTGGGGTACCCGGGTATGTTTCGTGGTCAACGGTCAAGCATGGGCAGATTGATATTATGTTTGTTTGGAGAGTTAATTTTTCGTAATAGTTTCTAATCGAGGGCAATTTGGTAAATAATTATTAATAAAGGGCTACAATGGTCAAAAAGCCTAAAACACTTACTAAAATAAAGCATGACTTTTTAATATTATCCCTTTGAAAATATTCAAAAAAAAAAAAAAAAGTTACTTCAAATTAAATTACATATAACTTTCAAACCTAATATCAAACACAATTTTAATTCATCAAATTTTGTCAAGTGATCGATGGTCAATAGAAAATAAAATTAATAACCTATCCAAGCCCATTGTATGTGGCAAGTCTAGTATTGTGTCTCTACATTACATATAATTATATAAATGATCATTAGCATGACATCACTGCAGTTGCCATAATAAGGATTTAGGAACAACTTGCAAAGTGCGTATTGGCGCAATTGACTCAATTTGCCACTCAGTTAAGTCGGTATCTCCTGCTAGCTGGGGTTCTCGGGAGGAAGTATGTCCATTCTCAACACAAATTGGAATATTAACAAAGCACTTCCAAAAAAAAAAAAAAAAGGAAAATCTATATGCTACGGGCTTTTCAAATATTAACAAAGGATTCTATTCTATCTAAGAACTAGGACTAAGTGTTGACCTTTTGCAAACTGGAGAAAAATGACCACACTTTCACATGGTTACTGTGCCACTGAACAAGGAGGGATTTCGTTCAAAGGAGATGCAGCAATGGATAACCTGCAAATTTCAACAACAAAATATACAATTAATCATAAGACATACCTCCAAAAATAAACACCAAGATTTGCTTCCACACAAACATGTACATGTACATTCTCGCTAGCTTAAAACTACATGGCCACTAAAACTAGCACCCATCCCCCCTCACTAAAAAATATAAATACAAACTTCTTTTACCCAGAGACAAGATTCACCGAACCAAATACCCCAATGGCTCATTTGAAACATTGATGAATAAATTTTATTAAGAATGAGAACTATGCAGGAAGAAATTTATTATGTATATATTGATTCTCCTTCACTGAAAGATCATAGCATGTTGACCACAGGGGAATTGACTAAGACCAAGCATTAAAATCTATCAAGACAGTGAGACCAAGGAATATGAACTTTGAAATTATGGACAGATAAGGGAAACATATGTACTTGAAGCTAAATAAAATTTATTGTTTACAGAATTACAGCTGAAGTTAGCCAGACAAGGAGAAGTATTGAAAAAAATGGCAAGAGAAAAATACAGCAAACACAAAAAAAGGCAGCACTGTGGTAAACAATAAAAAGTGAGATGTTAAGAAACTTACGAAGATTCCAATCGTGACTTCTTATTAGCCTTCTTCTTGTTCTTTCGTCGCTTTTTCAAACTTGAACTATCACCGATAAGCTGCTCTGAACATGGTTGGTATGGCACAATTGGAAGCTCGGTGGCTTCAAATGACGATCCATGTTTAGGAAGTTCTTGACATGAGGAAAGCACTTCAGAAGGCACAGGAAGTTCAATTTTTGCTTCATTAATAGCAGCAACCACAAGACCAGCAACTTCCTTATCTTTACGATCCAGTGAAATAGAGGCATGTCTTGTATTTTCCATGGTTGATGCAGTACTAGCCTCAATGCATTGGGATTTGTTTGGTTTGACTAAAGCATAAATTCTAGATTTTGACTTTATTATCCCGTAAAGTGTTCCTGAGCGAGAATCACCTGCTTTATATATTCATTCAAGTAGTTACTGCATAAATAAATAAAAATTTAAAAAATATGTATTCAAGCATATAGAATTTAAAAAAGAATACCTAAAATAGAAAGAATAGCAGCACGTGCTGCTAATTGCTCAGCCTCCTTTTTGTTTCTAGCAGCATTACCAGTGTACTTTGTACCGTTGAAAACTAAAGATGATTCAAAAAGGGGAAGCAACCCTTCTAGCTTAATAGTGTTGTAAGAGGGTCTTTCTAGATTCAGCTTACTAGCATATTCATTCAAGATAGACTTGGAAAACATGGTATCCTGAAAGACGAAAACAACGAGCAGTAATATCAGGATTCTAAAACAAAATAATATTGAATGACAATATATGACCAAGCCAATATGAATCACCGTCATTAAGAATGATGCTATTTCACCAGCAATTTGATTTCAAGGATGTCAACAATAAGTTACTAATGACATTAGATATCAGCAATCAGCACTTGAATAATGTCACTTTTTCCAAGTCCATAGATGTAAAAACACAACTACTTCATGCTATACTGCATTGTTTCATAAACAGTAGGATATTTTTTTTTCATAAACAGCAAAATTAATTTTCATAATGACAATTGTTTCAAAAAAAATTGTCACTATTTAACAGCTTGTGTGAAAAAAGCAAACAGCTGAAAATAAGTTAGTCAATAAATATAGTTGTTTTCACACAACTCAATAACTTCAAAATTGGAGCCAAACAAGAAAACACCTTAATTTTTTAGACCAAAGGCATGATATGTGCCACATTTTATGTCCTCAAAAGCTAGTCTAGAATATCTTCACGTGGGCATGAATATATCTACGTATATGTGTAGAAAGGCCAAACAACGTTATAAGGGACACGCTAAAACCCTGCAAGTTACATGCAGAGTGGCAGACCGATGATAGTATGTTATCTATGAAAAACATTTGGTGCCATATAAGAAGATAACAAAATTTGAATCAACTGAATCTGAAATATACAGAAAACAAGCCTAAGAATGTATAACAGAATACAGTCCCTAAACTTGTAGAACATATGATTAACAAACATTGCAATCTGAATTGAATAGCACTGGACAAATACTCCAGAAAAAACATGAAAACATTGTAGAACAACACAAGTAGTCAGGTACTACAAATAACAAATCTAACTTGGCTTGAAATTAGATAACAGTTCGAAAATTGATATTAAAAATCATATTACGACAAACCTCACAAACTAAATGGCACCCTTCATCTCTAATTTTTTCAGCATGGCTCCCCAAAGCAACTCTGGCAGCATCTTGCTCAGCAGCTTTTCGGTGAGAGAAAGTGATTTGTGAAGTGTAACTCACTCCATCCACCCATACTGTTGACCTAAAGTTTGGAGCATGGTCAGCTCCCTCATTAACAGTGTGATATGAGGGAAGTGCTAAGTTCGCCCTTTGAGTAAACTCTTGCAAACGATTTTTGTACATCAAGTGTTCTGACAAACATGACAAGATCAATCTACAAAGATTAGAGATCTTTTATATGTTAAAAGTCAAATTTGATATAGACAAAAAAAATAAAAATTGCCACGATATACTGAACATTCTAGATTCAAAGAATGTAGTCAAAGTTTAAAATATTCTGTTAACTCTTTTCTCAACAACCAAGAATATAAAATTTTGAAGACACCCTCTAAATGGACAAATACCAGCTTATACAACAGCTACTGAGGATCAACATTTTCTGTGAAAAATCAAGTAATGTTCTTGGCTTTTCAGATTAAAAAATCTAATAACTTCGAGTCTATTTGAAGAAACAAACATGAATTCCTCAAAATCCCCAACTTAAAAGGATGACCCAATAATATATATTTTTCAAAAAAAAAATAAAAATCTCAACTTTCCTTGTGTTTTTGAGTAACAAAACAAAGGCAAGAATGGAAATGCAGAACTTACGAGCAGCAGCAGCAGCAGCAGAAGCTGATGATGCATGATGATCCGTAGCCGGAACTTCAGGTGAAATGGAAGTTTGAGGTTGTGATGAAGATGAAACCACACCTTGGGTGGGATCAACGTGAGGGAAATTGATGGTGGAACCATCCATCTTGACCTCGAAGGACTCCATCAATGGCTGAGTGAGAAGATAGTGAAGTGGTACTGTTAGGGTTTTGAATCACCCAATCATTGTCGAAATGGGTATAAACACAAGGGAACAGTGTTTCTTGTTACCCGAGGCAACATTGTATCTTTGATGTTAAAACTATGTCGTTTTCAATTGAAAAAATATATATTTAATTAGGATAAAATTATCTCTGGCAAAAAAATTAAAATATTAAATAATAAATAATTATAAATATATAGTTGTTTCAAAATTATTTACGAATCTATTGCACTTATTCACGTCCAAATTAAGCGTGACCATTCACGCCTAAGTTAAGCATGACTACCAAGGCATTCACACCTAAATTAGGCGTGACTCGTCTGACGTGGCACAAAAAGTTAACAATTTAATCGTAAAACTTCATAAGGTCATAATTTTTGACTCAAGTATCTGAATCAGTTAATTCTTTTTCTGATTCTATATAAATTTTCAAGATTTTCACAATGACATATCATTTGATATATTTTATTTCTCACAAACACAGTTCAAATTTGAAATAATGGTAGTATAAAGATGGCACCGATTAGTTCATTTATAAATAAGGATACTTAATGTCATATTAAAATATATACTTCTACCAAGTGTTTGAAAAGAAAAATAGTGTACAAGGTTATTGAATCGCAATACGTATCGTGCATCGTTTGGCCAATTTTTCATATCGTGAATCATATTGAATCGTAAGATACAAAAATATAATAAAAAATAATTTAAAAATATATAACTTTTTTATGACTTTATCGAACCGTATCGTAAGTTACATCCTTCTGTTTTATGACTTTTTCTTTAAAGCCATTTAAATCATGTATGCCCAAGAGAAAGAAAAAATAAATACATTTAAAAGAAAAATTAAAAAGAGACTAATGGGTATAAGAAAAGAAAACTAAACCTGAAATCGAATCCTGAACTCTAAAGTTTGGAAACGTCTATGATACAAAACAATGGCTGAGTCTTTATGGCTGGATTCCGTTGGAAGCTTATAGCCTACGAATGGTTTTTAAAAATAAAATCCTTCTTGAATATTTATTTAATTATTTTTTTTATTAATACAGATTTTTTATATTGATTTTTGAGTTTAAATCACAAATCAAATCTTTATTTTGTTTTCCTTATTAATATTAATTTTTTATTTTTTAATTTAAATCACAAAACAAATCTTTATTTATTTTTTATATTAAAATTTTTGATTTTTTTTAATTTAAATCACAAATAAAATCTTTATTTATTATTTTATATTAAATCACAAACCCAGAACTCGGAGGCCTCTGGGTTTAAACGCTCTTAAAATACTATTATTGCATATTTGAATTGTGTTTGTGAGAGATAAAATATATCAAATGAGATGTCATTGCGTAGATCTCGAAAAGTTATGTGGAATTAAAAAAAATTACCTGATTTGGATACCCGAGTCAAAAGTTATGGTTTTTTAAAGTTTTGCGGTTCGTAAGTTGACTTTTTTGTGCCATGTGTCAACACCAGGTGAGTCGCGCCTAAATTAGACGTGAATGCCTTAGGAGTTACGCCTAACTTAGGCCTGAATGGTCACGCCTAATTTGGGCGTGAATAAATGCAATAGATCCGTAAGTAATTTCGAAACAACTATATATTAATAATTATTTATTAAAATAGTAATATTTTAATTTTTTTTGCCAATTATCTCTTCACTTCTAAAGTTACTTTTACAAAAGTATTTTTAATTGTTATTTTAATTGGATTAAATATCTAATTAAGTATGTTTACATATGTCAAAGGGAGAGCCTAAATAGATTTTGTATGTCTTGTGTTTCCATAAAGTTTTGTATTGGATTATAATTATATATTGATTGCGGAATTTATATTTTGTAAGGGTGACTTAATACTCAACGTCATGATTTATACTTTGATATTATGGTCTTTTTTATAATATGGGAAATATTACTCTCCTTTTACATGAGGTAATTTATCTCATTTTCTCTCACTTCGATTTTCGCACCCCACTTTTTTCTTCTTTTTCTTTTTCTTTTTTGTAATGGTGGGACCCACCCATTTTCTCTCTACCACATAAGATAACTATCTTATGTGGAAGGAGATTAATAAAACCCTTATAATATATGTATATAATTAGAGTTAAAAGAACGTAAGTAACGTTTTTCGGTTAATAATCGAATGATGTTACAATTATGGTCAATGTTATTAAATCTGGACTAGTGGTCGACCTGATTAAAATACTAGGTTAATGGGTCACTGATCCAACCAATGGATCATTGGTTGAATTAAAAAATTTATATATTAATATATAATAAATATAATAATAATTGTACCATAACTAGAACATTGCTTCGGTGTAGTGGTTGAGCTTGCATCCACCTATACCAATGGTGCATAATTCAACTCGCACAGATGCACAAAAGGTTGTAAATGCTATTTTTATATCAAAAGGAAAAGGCAAATATTGGTGGAGTGACTACACTTCCAGAGAAATATTTCACTAGTAGCATAAGAAATGAAAAGGAAGTGAAAATTATACAATTTAAATAAGGTAACATGTAAGTAAGACAATATATGGCTAAATTTAGGGAACTGGCAAAAAAAAATTCATATTTGAAATAGGGACAGAATCAATTTACATCGATGTAAGAATTATAAATCTTACATTCAATCTTAATCATTGATTTTCGTCCATCAAACAACTATAATTAGTTGGTTATTCTCATTAATTAATTATTAGTTTTCAATAAATTGTAACCGTCAGATATACGAAAATCAACAGTTATGATTAAGTGTAAAATTTATTTCTTACACTGACGTAAGAAGATCATATCCTTTTGAAATACAATCCCAATGTAGAGCGAAAAGCAGTAAAATTTAATCAAGGATTGAAACTAAACATCTGAAATATTGTCGGGGCTTTTGAAATACACAAGTACTTCACTCTAATCAATAAATGTTGCATTGTGGAGAACGGAGTTCACGATGTAGAGGCAATAAACAATAAACACTTGTTTTTAAAAAAGAAAAAAAGAGATCTCAAACAAAATAAGAGACGTAAAAATAATAATAATATTTTGAAAGGAAAATAAGTTTGAATTTGGTCAAATAATGATAATTGTGTCAAGTGTGTGAATGCCTATAGGGATAAATCTTGTATAATTGATCAAAATGTTCGTTTTATTTGTATGAACCTCGAACATTATGCTATAGAATACCTACAAGGTAGAAAATGATATTTTGGGAGGCGTCCAAATATGGGGAGAGGCAATATGTGTCTAAATTTGAGGAACTGGCCGAATTTTCTTCATATTTGAAATATAATTCCAATGAAAAGTGAAAAGCAATAAAATTTTGACTATGGATTGAAACTGGCTAAATTTTCTTCATATTTGAAATATAATCTTAAAGAAGAGTGGAAAACAATAAAATTTGATCATTGATTGAAACTAGACATTTGAAATATTGTCAACGCTTTTGAAATATGCAAGTACTTTAGTCAATAAATATTGCATTATGGAGAACAGAGTTCAAGATGCGGAGGGCAATAAGCAGAAACACTTGTTTGTAAAGGAAAAAAAAAGAAATCTCAAACAAAAATAAGAGATTAAAAAATAAAAAAAAATTGAAAGAAAAATAAATTTGGATTTGGTCAAAGAAATGATAATTGTGTTAAGTGTACAAAGGCACATGGGAATAAACCTCGTATAATCGATTAAAACATTTTTTATTTGCATGGACCCTAAATATTATGCTAGAGAATGTCCACAAGGAAGAAAATGATATTGGGAGAGACATCCCCAGTATGGAAGGGGCAATATGTGGTTAAATTTGAGGAATGGACTAAATTTTCTTCATATTTGAAATATAATCCCAATGAAAAATGAAAAGCAATACAATTTGAGGAAAGATTTAAACTAGACATTTCAAATATTGTTGAAGCTTTTGAAATACGCAAATACTCCATTATAGTTTATAAATGTGTCATTGTGAATAACGGAGTTCAAGACATGGAAGCCAATAATTATCAACATTCATTTTCTTTTACTTTCCTTGAAACACTCCATCTTCCAGCAGATTAACTTTTAACCTTCTAGAACAATCAACAACTGTCGCGTAAGAAGGAAAACGATTCCTTTTGGGGGATACTAAGTCAAATAGAGATCTTTCCAAATTGTCTACAAATAAGGCACATACCTAGATAACTGTATGAAGCTAATATCATATTCTGTCACAATCACATTAGGAGTTTATCTCAAAATCTCAAATTCCTTAGCTCTTGTCTATCTAACACTTTCAAGTATATAGTAATCCATAAATATTTCTCTAAACTACTCCGATGTCATTGGAGGTAAGTTTACAGATCTCCCTCTAAGCACATTATCAAACCATACCTTAGCCAAAATTTTAAATATAAAGGCAGCCAACTCTACCATCTTTTAAGTGGAACATCCTAGAGCTTTGCAACATATGTCTATCTTATCATCAAATTGGTTGGGATCCTTTGACATATCACAGAAAATGTTGGCGGATAAACCTAAAAAAAATATCTTGATATAGCAAAACCACCAATTTCACCCTAAGCTGCAACCAGTCCTTCTTGCCTAAACATTATGCTTACTAATAGTTGAATAAACTGACGAGTCTCAACCAACCTAATAACTATATGAGCTATATTTTTTGCTTGCCTCGTGGGTTATGGAACTATTGCTTATACATCGACCTCAACTCTTAGTGCCCTTCCTCTATGATGATCGCACCCACAATGATCGATAGGTGGTCATCCCTTATCACCTTAACCACTAGCATCCCATACTACAGAGTTACGAGAAACATCCTCAGTCGTGTCATGAGTAATGACTCCACCACCTCGCATTCGAAGTCTTTGTTGCGTATTCTAAAAAAATAAAAGTGGATAGGAATTAGAATTGAGGATTATTTGGTGACTCAAAACACAAGATAACTTGAAATAAGAATTATGATGAGATTTAATAGTCTTAAAGGTCTTTTATAGGACCCTGAGCGTGAGAATGCCCGGGTACATAATCACAATCATGTTTCTACTA